GTTCTTAGTTTAGCTTTGAGATTCTAAGTTGAGTGGGTCAACTTTTAACAGGAAAAATATCTAAAATTGCAATTCACAACAAGGGGCGGGTAAACGGTGGGACTAACTATAAATTTCCAGGGCCACGCTGGGTTTACATATAAATAAAGACGTAATCTCTGTTTGTGTCTTAGTATTTCCGATCATAACTCATGAACCCCTTGACAGACTTGCATCATACTTTGATTGGGGAACTTGGGAAAACCACTGAAATGTGAGCTTAGCTTGGTTTTGAAATTATATTTTTTTCAATACGGAAAAATGGCTAAAATCGTAATTTACGACTAAGCGCGGGTAAACGGCAGGATTAACTACGAGTGCCCTAGGCAACGCTGGGTTTTCAAGCTGGTTCTTAATATTTTAGTATGACAAGTCACTAACAATAATTTTGACGAATTTTGAATAGGAGATTAAAATAGAACTGAAAATATTCCGAAACAGACAAAATGCATTTTATTGTAGTCAGTTTTACGTAAACGGATTTCAATTTTCTAATCCCTTTTTTTTGCAACCTGATTTCGTAAACCTTTAACGATAAGAACTTTATATACTAGCAAGATAAAATGATCTAAGTTCAAAATATTAAACGTCAAATAAAAAGTTTAGTCATCTTGACGTTTATCGGTAAATAAAGCTAGAACCCTACAGACATGACAAAAAAGTATTTAAATTATATCGATTCTGTCTATTTATTTGCCAAATTGTTAATAGTACTTAAAATGAGGTATTTTTATCTATATATATGTAAAGTAGTAATCTCTGTTTGTTTGTTTGGATGTCCAGTCATAACTCAGGAACCCCAGGACCTATTTGCCTGAAATTTTGATTGGGGAACCCGGGAGAACCATGAGAATGTTTAGTTCAGAGAGTTTACGTTGAGTGGGTTGACTATCAAAGGGAAAGATATCTAAAATCATGTTTTTCAAAGTGCGCGCACACGGCGGGAGTTCCCAAGCTAATACAAGATAAAAATGGAAGAAAAACTAACATAATTAAAAAATTAACCGACTTAAGTACTTTTTAAAAAATATCTCTTCGTTCTCCACCTATACCTTTATATACTCCTAGCTCCTTGTTTATTGGAAAATATTAAAGTATAAAATATTTGAAGATTAAAATTTTAAGATAATAATTATTCATTTGTTATCTTTGAACACCTGGAGCCTAGTACCAAGTATACAGTACACACACCTATGCAAACACAAACCTTAATCTGAGTATAAAGAATAAGATTTTCAGAGAAAAATTACAAAGTTCTTAATTCAAGGTTTTCTAAATTTAACTCATACAATTCTTCGAAACATGTTTAAGAGAAATGCATTTACAGCAAAATTAGATACAAAATGATATCCTGTTAATACCTTCCTGTTAATACCTTCCTGTTAATACCTTCCTGTTAATACCTTCCGCCCATTGTTTTCTGTATTTTGCATTGTCCCTCTTCCTCCCTCATGAATATGTGTAAGATATACCTAAAATTCTATTCATAATTTGTTTACAAAATTATTGCAATTTTTTAATATTTTGGTAGTTTGGTAAATGCGAATGAGCTGTTTTTTCGATATTTATTTTATTAAGGGGGGGGGTAAATTTAGGCCTATGTTAAATGAATCCATCAATAATGACTGAATACATAATGAATGATAAAAAATGTAAAAATCAAAAATATTAGAATTTCAAGTTTCTCTAAAAATATGACTTACACCTATTGGGTCATTACTGAAAAAAAGAGGGAACCTGCTTATTTTACAGTTTTGATTTGTTAGTATCAAGAAAGTTTACTATATTTATTTGAAGGAAAATTGTATCACAATTGTGAAGATATCTTAAGCATAAATAAAAAATATCTTGCTAATGAATAGATTATCGTGATTAGCATGTCTTCTGGGAAGCAGAGACAGATATAACAGTTTTTATAAAATTCTGTAAACAGAAACATTTAGTATAAATAAATGGTTCAATTTTAATCCTAACTTTGGAAAACAAATCTTATCATTTGAAAGATTATATTGATAAATCTGTTCTACTTTTGATGTAAGAACATAGAAAACTCCATTCGAATTGAGGTCTACGCCCACACCTGTGTTTAAACAGAAAATGGGGGGGGGGGGATTTGTTTGATGTAGACAGTCATCAAGTAAAAAAAGATAAGAATTGTCTCAAAAGAATGAATTTCAAATACAAATTTAATGATTATCAGAAATTTTAACAAAATTTCATAATTTAAAAATGACTTACAATGCATTAAAATTAGAGTAATAATGATACATCCCCCCCACAAACATAATTGTAATTCATTCTGTTTTCCAAAAGTATGTGTTTGATACGTCAAAAATTATAAACAAAGAAGCCACAAATTCTAATCTTTATCCTTGGAACCTGAGGCCGAATTTAAAGAATATCAGCCGCGGCTTAAATTTTGAGACGCGGCTCAAATATGGTTGGTTTCATTTAAAATTGTATTCAATTTTTCAAGATTTAATACAATTGAAACCGGTTTCTGGGGGATTTGAGACGCGGCTCAAATTCATTAAATTCGGACTCAATTATTGTATATATTCTGGGACCGAATTTAATTAATTTGAACTGCCTACCGTCGGTTTAAATTTGAATCACCGATTTTTCCTGGTTCTTTAACTTTGTGTTTTGTGGAAGTGGCAAATATAATACCTCTTGGTATCAGTAAGTAATGGCCTTAAAACATTAGCAAAGTTTTGTATAATTTTTACACATTTTTATATTAATTTCTCGATACGTAGAGGGACATCAGTATAGAACTTGTGTTGGTCGCGATCAACTCAAAAGTTTTTTGGTATAGTCTTTACCCACTTTTATTTGCTTTTATTTTACCTTAAAGGGACTGTAAAGGAAAAATGAAAGGGGTATAGGGGTTGACATTTTTTTAAGAGTGGTTCGCCGAGATTAAAAAGATTATACTAGACATAATCATACAGTGTTATCTTTAATATAAAAGGAGTTATTACTGGGTCACCCTATCTGCAAAATGATAATAGTTTACACCAGGTTACCCTGTATATACCCGGATATTTAAGCCGGGCCACCCTGTATATACCCGGATAGTTTACGCTGTGTCACCCTGTATATACCCGGATAGTTTACGCCAGGTCACCCTGTATATACCCGGATAGTTTACGCCAGGTCACCCTGTATATACCCGGATAGTTTACGCCAGGTCACCCTGTATATACCCGGATATATACTATGGGTGGTAAGAACTAAGAAGTTGGGTTTTCACTTCTTGCTCTGTGAGTAAACTGTAGACTGTAATTAGAGTGTTCAGTTTACAGTATCTCAATTCTAGACCAAATACACCTCGTCAAACGAGGGGGGGAAGGCGAGCTAAATAAAATGTGATTTCGAGGGTGAGAAGGCAAATCAAAGGTATGAAAGCAGATAATCATGCAGAGAAGAACTTTTAACCATTCCACTCTTTTAATAATATCTGCTATCATAGCCTCTCATAACCAGAGCTGTCTGTTAGCTTTTACTTGCCATCCCACCCTCTATTACCTTTGACTGCTATCCCCCCCCTCTCTGAACTAAAACAAATAACCCTAGTTCAACCGCTCATCTAACCTGTCCAAGGCATTGTTAACAGTGTAATGGAAATTTTAGGGTTGAAATTTAACTGAAATATCACACGAAATGTCTACACTGCCCTCTATCATTATCACTTGGGAGGGCAAAATATTGTAGTAATGGGTGAGAAGGGGGGGGTGGGGTAGGGAATAGAAGGCAAGAGATTTAAAGAAGGGAAGTGTATATAGGACGAGAAAGGAAGAGAAGTAGGAAGGGAGGGAAGAGAGAATGAAAAGAGTGGAGAAGGGGGGGGAGGGAGTTAGAAAATGTAAGGAGTTCTAGAGGAAAGGGAAGGGAGTAGGGAAGGGTTATTTGTAACGGGAAAATGAAAAGAAACAGTTTAATGAGGGGGGGGGGAGTAAAATGATAAGGGGGGAAAGGAATGGTTGTTGAAGAGGAAAATGGAAGTGACTGAAAGNGGGATAGGTGGAAAGGGGGAGAGAAGGGGGTTACATTTTACCAAGAACTGTAGCTATGCATAAAGTATATAATGGAATAATTTATTAGATTGTGTGTAAAATATCAATCTTGCGCTGACATTTATATTCTCAGAACTGTTAAAGGTTTTGTATTAAACCCATTATAATCTGTAAATATACATATTGATCTTACTTTTCGTGGTTTTACAGGATTCAATTATTGTTTTATAAAGTCAAAAACGATTTTTTTATTTTTTCTTATATAATATATCTTTTTATACAGTGAGAACCATAAAATCTAAAATGAGAAGACAATTTTTTGACACGCGATTTGACTTTAAATATGAACATGAGTCCCATCTATGATGCATTGTAAGCGGACCCATTTTACTTAAAGTGATTTAATGATTTTTAGAACTTTTTGCTTTGTATCAAATACACTTAATTTTTGCTTTAATGTCGTCTTCCTCTTCCACAGCTTTATTTAAATATTTTTTCAAACTCTCAGATGTCAAAAATTGTGTTGTACTTTCATCCCCCCAATCTCCTCATTCCTAATTCATTATAAAGTTTATTTAACAGTTTAAAAAATTCGAAATTGAAATGAATAGTCTAAGGATCATACTGTATTAATGTACTCTACTGCATATAATTTGTGAACATTTACATGATTTGTACACTTTGAGCTCCCTTTCAGCCTGAAAGGCCGGACTCAAAAAATTCATACCGAGAGATTCTTTAAATTCCTCTCTAATATATATTCTATTCTCTATGCCTATATCTTTGGATCTTAAGGTCGTAGACTTCAAATATTTTAGACCAGGAAATATGTTAGATCGAAAAGTATAAGTTTGAAATATAAAAGGTTTATATCATCAGGTTGCAACGACATTGGGATTTAAAAATTATCAATTGTTTATTTGCAAAGTTGCAATGTCATAATGAAATTTTTTATATGAATTTATATAGCTATAGATAAACATGAAGTTTTTGGTTTGCATCCTGTTTTTGGGCCTAGCTGCTGCTGGTATTGTAGAAGTCGAGGATTGTGGTAAGTACTGTACAACGTACAACTTTTGTACTGTGAACAATTGTACAATGTATGTACTGTGAACATGATATAAATAATGTACTATGAGTATAATTGTGCAATTTAACTCTGGAACATCGTACATCATGTTGTACTGTTTGGAAAATGAAAATTTCACAGTGTAAACTGAGAGAGATTATACAGTGTTTAAGGTAAATGTACTAGAGAAGTATTCAATTAAGCCTTGCACATTAGGCATTTTAAAGAAGTTTTTAATAAACAATGTGTACTGCAGTTTCTGGGCCGGAGGATTGTAAACAAGGTTTAGTAAGGGCAGCATTTATAGGGCCTGTATTTCAAACTGCATCAGACACATTAATCTTTTTTGGTGTACTGTCTCGTTTTGACTTCTGAAGTAAAATTGTACAAGTAGTTCAGTAGAAAGAACAAAGTATTCCACTTTTTTTGGTAATCACACTGTAAGTTCCACGTTTGGTTTATATCAGGTTCCTCTGCTGAAATTGTATCCCTTGAGTTTGATGGTTGCGATGAGAAACCCTGCTCTGTATACCATGGAACCCACGCTACAGGCAGAATTAATCTTAAAGCTAACTCTCCAACAAATACTCTCACTTGCAAGGTCAGGTTCTTTTTTAAATTATTATTACCACAAAATTCATAAAACTGGGGGAAAAGACGACATTTACTCTAAAATTATGATTAAAAATAGTGCAAGGAACATGAAAATACACTTTTTACTTAAATTTATTTTGATCCAAACTTGTAAAACTATTTGATTAATATCAAACATAAACACACATAAGATTAGTTGAATGTCGTCTTCGTAGTCCATAATTTTATGGGTCCCACTATCTTATTACCTGGATCATAAATTGTGTGTTGGCAGCAAGGGGGCCGGGGGCCATAAGAGAAATTATTTACTGTACAAACATGTATTCTGGAATACACTATGAACTCGGTTTCGGTGCAGACTAAAAACTGGTTTTGCGGTCTATTTACATTCAATTTAATTAGGCTTATGTCGAAACAATAATTTACAGTTTCGACATGAGAGGGGGGGGGGGGGAGTAGCCCAGGCATGAATATTTTTTACCTTGCTCCATTTTATCTTTATATGTGTAACTATATAATTCTGGACTGCGACTAAGGTTAGAATACTGGGTTTAATTTCATGTTTCGGTTCAAGTCCAGTTTCGGTTGCGTTTGTTTACAAACAACCAATATACAACTGTACAGCCACCGAAAGTGAGTTCATTGTATATTACGGAATTTGGTATATTCTGATGAAAAAATTAGCTTATGGCCTTATCCTTACCTTGGTTGGCAGCAAGAAATATATAGACCAGGAACCGCCATATCTCATGCGTCAAAGTGTACTGCAGTGGGAGGAGATCAAAACAAAGAATTCAGGGGTAACGCATCATTTTTGAGGGAAAAGGGCCAAAGGTGTGAAATAAGAATATATTGCTATTTAATTTTCCATATTGACCAGAAAGCCAAAAATCATATGAATTCGCTCTAACTTGATATATTAACTTGATTTTTGTTGTACAGTAATATCACATGTTTATTAGAGCTTTTGTCCTTCTGTGGAGGCACTGGGGTTGTTTACATTCCTCCCATAGTGTACAGTACACAATTTGCGTATATCTGAGTTGGGCGTTCCTGTATATAGTTCCTGTATATAGTTCCTGTATATAGTTCCTGTATATAGTTCCTGTATATAGTTCCTGTATATAGTTCCTGTATATAGTTCCTGTATATAGTTCCTGTATATAGTTCCTGTATATAGTTCCTAGGTTGGCAGTATCTTTAGGACATTTTATGACTTCTCATAATAAACCTAAAACAAAATATTGATAAAAGTACTCTGCAAAATGATAAATTAAATTCTCAAGATATATCTTTAAAAAATTGTCGAATGATAAATAATATTTATGTTATATTTTAATTTATTTATAAATTGCTGAATTTCAGCTTGCTGGTGTAGTTGGTGTAATTGAGTTACCATTCAACGGTTGTCCTTCTGATGCTTGTGCTTCAATGACCTCTGGAGATTGTCCAGTGGAAGCGGGAGAGACACTTGTTTATGAACTAGACTTTGAGGTAATCAAACATTTTAATTGATGCAAAAAAAAAGTTCACCAAAATGTCATCAAAATGTAATTTACTACGATATGTGTTCATAAAAAAGTTGGACTTTTCCTTAAATCTTGAAGATATAAAACACGACTAAATCATAAAAAAGCAGTTTTATTTAAAGATGTTAATGCCATAAACCCAAGCCATTGGATTCCCTTAAAACGGGGTTACAGCCTACATTACATCTGTATTTACGAAAAAGTAAGTGATTTTTAACTCCTTTATCTTTGCAACCAAATGTGTGAACTTTAGATATATCCAAATATAAATTCTGTTACTCCTATTGATAACATCGGAAATATCAAAGGTTTACACCATCAGGTTGGAAAGACAATGGGATTTGAGGTTTTGGGAAAAACTTTTCCAATTTCTAGTTTTGATCAAACATTTCTTCGGAATATTTCCAAGAATATATTTCTTTAACGTCGGAATTTAATTTAATTCAGAAACTCATCTTTATCATACTGCAGAGTGCAGAAAATCATTATATAAAAGAGAAACATGAGAACTATTAAAATAAACACATTTTTTGTTAACTACCGTCTATTTTTGGTTAACTTCCGTCTATTTTTGGTTAACTTCCGTCTATTTTTGGTTAACCACCGTCTATTTTTGGTTAACTACCGTCTATTTTGGATTTACTAATGTCTATTTTTGGTTAACCACCGTCTATTTTTGGTTAACTACCGTCTATTTTGGGTTAACTACCGTCTATTTTTGTCATATTTCTGTAAAATAATTATTAAGATAATAAAAATGCTTGTATTAGTAATGAAAACTTTTAAATCAACAAAAAGAATTAAACTTATTCTGTATAAGAAGTTCAAATTCTCGAATTTTTATCCTTGGTTTTGATCGATGAGAGAACGCCGATCAGTCAATCGAATCACTCATTCGGCAAATTCAAAAGTTTTCAACTTTATTTTTCTATTTTTCAGATCCTTGACCTCTATCCCACAATCGAGGTTACAGCTAAGTGGAGGCTGCTGGATGATAACGGTGATGACTTTATGTGCTTCCTCCTCCCAATTGTCATCAAAGATTAGATTCTCAATTGTAAAATATTTTTACAAAAAAAAATATATTTATTAACATTTTCTTGTTTTTTTCTAACTTAGCTTTATCATTCCTTAATTCTTATCTCAAACTGTTTTGAAAGCAATCAATGCTTGACAAGATATTAGACAATATTACAAAGGAGATACAAAGATTCTACTAATATCCGACGTAAACTTTTTAAACAAATTTTTAAAGAAAAATTATTTTAAAAAACAGTTAAAAGAAAATTTTTTTCCTTCTTATTTAATTCTTTTAGATTTGAACTCGAACTACAATCTTTAAAAATAATTGACGATAAAATGAAGAAATTTTTTTTTTATATATACATTGATCCTTAGCTCATCCTTATGTGCTTTATTATTTGCAAAACTTATGCAAACAAAAAATTTGCATAAATGCATTTTCTTTTCATTTTTATCACGCAGTTAATCCAGTATCCTTTATTAGAATGCATAATCAGTCCTTATTGTCTAATAAGATTAATTTTCTATAAGCTAAACCTTACATTTGAAAACTCGACTCCCTAAATACTTGGCTTTAAAACTTTTAGTAAGCCTCCATCTGACGTAAGATGTGACGGATATCATCGTTTTTCTAGCTCTTCAAGTTTCAAATTCTCTAAAACTTCTCCATTTTGTTTATGAAGCACAAATGTCACTTTTTAGAGAAACCACAGTTGAAAATATTTGACTTTAAATGAGTAGATAATTGATATCTCATTCGTTCTTGACCATACAAAGCTGTTGAGGGTACTGTTGTTAATTGTCCAATGGATAGCCTCTACAGTTCCTGTAAAGCTTTAAACCTTATTTCATCAATCTTGAAAAGACTGTCGAATTATAATAGTGGCCTTATCATGATTGTTCCTAACATCATCAAAGAAAATTACTTTTATTTTTTTATTGCTGTTCATTGAATTAAATAGGGGTCAAAAATAACAAAGCTGATCTTTCCTGTATCCTTTGAAATCTTCTATATAATAAAACAAGACATTTGATATATATATGTTGCGGATAGCCGGCCAAACGGCTGGACCAATTGGGCTGAAATTTTTTGTGGACAGTTATGGGTGGCCGGGGGGTGTTATAGGCTAAAAAAATCGAAAATATTTTTTTTAAATTTGTTTTTCCACGGGCAACACCGGGTTCTTCAGCTAGTAATTAATAAAATTGAAAACTTATCAATTTTCAGGGGGATCTTTAGTTATACATTTTCAACTTGAAAATACTCACTACAAAAGTTTTTACAACTCCGGATCGAACCTTTTAGGGACTGTAAGCTTAATTTCAAGTAACCTATCGCACAAAGATGGCAATCCCCGATTCACATATACCCTTGAAACCTTTATCTGATCAAAATGTGGAAGACATGGTCGTTGTTTTAGATTTAAGCTTAATTCAACTAAAAAAAGTCACTTTTGTAAAGAACAAATAATTTTAAATAATATTTTTTTAAATTAGAAACATTTATAAATATTTTATACTTGATCAGACATGGCTTTTTAGGGTATTTATGTGAATCTGACCTTTTCACCTTCGGATAAAGAGTCACTTAAATTACGCTCCCAATCCCTTTAACAACTGATCGTACTGCATTGTTTAAACCTCCATTTTAACAACAACACTTTTTAAAATTAAAACTTAAATTTAGAAAATACATATAAGTTAAAGGTACTAAATAAAAGATTTGAAAGAATAAAAACAAACACACTTATTTTTATTACAAAGAATGTCAAACACATAAAGAAACCAAACTAAAAGTTAAAAAATAACCTTTTTTATAGTAATAAGGTATGGCATGTATGTAAATCAACCATACTTTTGTTTGAACAACCATACTAATGCATAATTCGACTCAATAGAAATTCGTTTTCACAACGGAAATGACCACAAACTCTAATTTTTCAATACCTTTATCTTTTGCAACCCGATGTCGTAGACCTTTAATATTTCAAACTTATAAATACTGTTCTATCAAATAATCTAAGTTTGAAATATCAAAGTTCTACGCCATCAGAGTGCAAAGTTATGGGAATTAGAAAGTTTGAGTTTTGGTAAAATCTGAGTTCTTTTTAAGTTGATTTCTCCTAACTTAACCGTTTTCATAATGAAAATTCTTTGCAAAAAGGCAAAAAAACAATTTTAAAATAGCAAAAATAAATTAAGTTACAAGTTTCAAAATGCTAGATCGAAATAAGATAATTAGATATATCTCCCAATGGTTAGATTTATTAGAAACAAATTTAAACTGTGAGTGTTGCGTCGGTAAATTAGAATTATCTTCTATTTTTAGCCTCTTTTGACAATAAATAAAAATGATATCACTGTGCGCCGTACTCCTCTTTTCCTTAGTGTCAGCTGATCCTATCAAGAAGGATGTTGTCCCTGTGGAAGATTGTGGTAAAATATTTTAATAAAATTATGAAATCTTGATTGTGAAAACTTTTTTATTTTAAATATACATAGATTCAGAAATCACCAAAACAGTTAAATTTTTTTTTATATGTGCTCAAACAAACATCTATCCAACACTGCTATTTTGATAATTAGTTTTTGAAGTTGTATTTTTTTATATTTTAAATGGTTAGGCAGGGTCCATTATTAATGGCTTTTAAAACTGTAAATTTTAAGCTTCTTTTTTATGACATTTTTTTAGAATTGTTTGGTACACACACACACCACAGCTGAAATCTTGTTAATTCTAGAATCGACAGCTAAAATATATAAAAACTAGGATCGACATCTGAAATCTTGTTAATTCTAGGATCGACAGCTGAAATCTAGTTAAATCTAGGATCGACAGCTGAAATATATGAAATCTAGGATCGACAGCTGAAATCTTGTTAAATCTAGGATCGACAGCTGAAATCTTGTCTGTTGAGTTTGATGGGTGTACTGAACCCCCCTGTAATGTATTCCATGGAACAACTGCTTCGGGTAGAATAACACTTAGAGCTAATACACCTACTAATACCCTCACATGTAAAGTAAGTGTAAGAAATCATATCAAACTATTTTGTTGTTATATATGAGACCGCCACACTATAATCTTGAATACAGTTTATTTGTTTGTAATAATATTCTTAATTTTGAGATGTCTCTGAAGGAACTGAATTTATTCGCCTTTAATCAAACCCCTAGATCTTTCCAATCTAATGGTATAAATCTTTGATATTTCAACCCTTAACTATTTGATCTAAGGGAATTCATATTTCAAAATATGAAAGGTCTACTGCATTTTCATATGAGGATGGCACTATTTGGATGATAAATTACAAAATTATTGGCACTTTTTGTATATCAGGTTTTCGGTATTGTTGGATCCTTTAATAGATGTACGTCCCCTGGATGCTTGAAATTCTCTTATTTCTTGAGATTTCTCCAGTATTTTCATCTTTACTGACAGTTCTTGTGTTTAAGGTGTTTGGTATAGTTGGACCTATAGAACTACCCTTTAATGGATGTCCCCTGGATGCTTGTAAATCTCTTATTGCTGGAGATTGTCCTGTAGAAGAAGATGAGATTTTAGTTTATGAACTTGTGCTCGAGGTAAACGGAATTTAAATAGATTTTCTTTTAATTATTCAGTTTTATTTTTTTATCTGAGGCCATTTTGCTTTTTTCTTACCAATATTACTGAGAAAAGAAGAGAAAGATTTTGTCATTAATATATTATAACATGTGTTGAATTCTGTCAACTTCATTCCTTCTCTCTGCTGCATAAAGCCAATAAAAGTCACTTTTACGAAGAAATTTTAAATTAAATTTTAAAAAGATCAATTTTCAGCCTGAAAAACAAGAGTATCTATTTTATTTTTGCCAGGATGAAAGTTAAAATTACAGGTTACCTCAAATTGCATGAACTGACGTAAAGACTACCTTTAAAATTAACAAATTATCGTGGCCTATTTCAATACTTCCCTTCTGCCGTATTTACATGAATAAAGAATTTTCTTTTAATTCCACAAATGTAGGGAAGATCAAAAAGATTGGTGAGCGGCGTCAAATTTTTGGCTCCTTTTTCTTGGAAATTGATTTTTGGATTATAAAATTTTTTGTACTGATCCACTCTATGCCCATTTGGATACAAGCAGTGTTAAATTTTTTTTATTCTACCCTTATTTGAATAAACGAAACTTTTGCCTTCAAATGCCTATCAGTTTTAATCTCATTAAAAAATTAATTCAAAAACTGTATTAAAGTTAAAAATGAAAAGCTCAAAAAAGACATTTTGAAAAATGTTAAAGTGTTCCGCAATTACAGACATTAAAAAAATCTTTAGAAAACTATACTACACATGAAAAACCCAGAAAGTTCAGAAATATGGTTTTCTTCTTTCAGATTCTTGACCTGTATCCCACTATTGAAATCACTGCTAAAGCTCAGCTTCTTGATGATAATGGAGACACCTTTATGTGCTTCCTACTCCCAATTTCAATTCAGCCATAAAATTTAAATAAAATTAAAATAAAATTTAAATAAAAACAACTTTTCTCATTTTATATAATTCCTTTTTACGTAAAATAGAATATTAATTGAGAACAGGAAGACGAAATTTAATCTAAAGTATAATTATTAATTAATTGTATTCTTAGTCATTGTGCACAGACCAATTTGCAAATGAAAATTGGTCTGGGTAAAATGAACATTTGCTTTGAGCCTGTGTTTAATAATCATTGGACAATTTTAAATCATAACAGTCGTCTTTCTATTTATTTTTTCTTCATTATTTTAAAGTTTGTTTTTTTGCTTCATGAATAGTAGTTTTAATTATTGTAGATTTATCAAAATAAAAAGGAAAAGTTCCAAAAATGGCTTATTTTGATATCTATATTATTATTTACAAAATTTAAATGATGTTCAAATTCTTGATTTGATTTAATAAACGTATCAACATATATACATAGAAATATCTTAATATCAAATTACATTTGGATCAACAATTATCTGTATAATTAGTTACTTAGATATCTCAATATATAAATATGTAAATATATTAATATCTAAAAATATGAATATATAAATATCTAAATATTTAAATGTCTAAATATCTATATATCTAAATATCTAAACATCTAAATATCTAAAGAACTAAGCATCTATATATCTAAATATCTAAATATCTTAATGACTAAATAGCTAAACATCTAAATATCTATATATCTAAGTATCTAAATATCTAAATATCTTAATATCTAAACATCTAAATATTTAAGCATCTAAACATCTAAATATCTAAATATCTAAACATCTAAAAATCTAAATATCTAGATATCTAAATATCTAAATATCTAAATGTCTAAATGTGTAAACATCTAAACATCTAAATATCTAAATGTGTAAACATCTAAACATCTAAATATCTAAATATCTAAATATCAAAAATATATAAATATCTAAATATCTTAATATCTAAATATCAAAAATATCTAAATATTTAAATATCTTAATATCTAAATATCTTAATATCTAAATATCTTAATATCTAAATATCTTAATATTTGAATAACCATGAATTATAAGTATAAAGGTTGAGTTATTTTCTGAATATAAATTGTGAATAATCAGTCTGGTTTTTACGGCACGCTCCTTCTTTTCTCTCTAGCTTCAATAACCATAGTACAGGGTGTCACAGAAAAAACGTCAGATACGAAATTTTTGCTTCATGATCACTTAAGTATAGTGTGTTTCTGTACATAGAGGACTTAGTTAAATTACACTTTGCAAACAAAACTGCGATGTAAAAAACTTTACTGTGTTAAAATTGTTATCCATTGAGATCCATAAACAGTGGAGTGGGAAGACAATATTTGATTAATGGTATATTTATTAGATGCTGTAGTAAAGAAGATACTGTTAGAAGCTGCAAGAAAATTAACGTAATAAGTAAAATGGTTCTGTGTTCACTACACACTACACAATTGTTATGTTTTATGTTCAGTCGTCTTCCTTTTTTACATTAATTTTCACATTTCCCAAGGAGAGTTTATTTCTGCTCACCCTGTCTAATATATGAGTGGATTGTCTATATTGAAATTCCACACATAGAGGTGAAGATAGATAGGTAGATACTTAACCAAGATATGGACGAATTTACAGGGGTACAACCAGTACTAAAAATTCCTCTAAATTAGGAATATTTGAAGGGAGTTGAAGAGAGTTAACGGGAGTTGAAAGGAGTTGAAGGGAGTTGAAGGGAGTTGAAGGGAGTTGCAGGGAGTTGAAGGGAGTTGAAGGGAGTTGAAGGGAGTTGAAGGGAGTTGGAGGGAGTTGAAGGGAGTTAAATGGAGTGGAAAGGAGTTGAAGGGAGTAAGAAGGGTTGAAGAAGCACTATAAATTTCCTGACCTGCCTCTCTTGTTCACCCTTCATCCAGTATACAGGGTGTATATACCCACCCTTCATACATTAGTGAGGGTGTATATACCCACCCTTCATCCAGTATACAGGGTGTATATAGCCACCCTTCATCCAGTATACAGGGTGTATATACCCACCCTTCATCCAGTATACAGGGTGTATAAACCCACCCTTCATCCAGTATACAGGGTGTATAAACCCACCCTTCATCCAGTAGACAGGGTGTATATACCCACCCTTCATCCAGTATACAGGGTGTATATACCCACCCTTCATCCAGTGTACAGGGTGTATATACCCACCCTTCATCCAGTATACAGGGTGTTTATACCCACCCTTCATCCAGTATACAGGGTGTATATACTCACCCTTCATCCAGTATACAGGGTGTATATACCCACCCTTCATCCAGTATACAGGGTGTATATACTCACCCTTCATCCAGTATACAGGGTGTATATACCCACCCGCCATCGAATTTAAAGGGTATAAACTGTATATCAAATATACAGGTTGTATATTGTATAGCTAGTATACCCACCCTTTATATAATATCCTCTATTCTATAATTGACCCTCCAGGGTGCACTCTAGGAAATAATATTGATTGAACAGAAGCATTTGTAAAGATTATGAATATTGTTAAGTTCTTTGTATTTTCATAAGGAAAAGGGAGATAATTATCTTAACAACTTTACTGAGTGCTGAGTTATTTGCAAGGTTGTATAATAAGGTTGCTTACTCTCGATGTGCTCATTGGTACGGAAAATCTCGTCTTCTACGATAGATAGATAATATCCTAATATGACGTCACTGATTATAGAGGCGAGAATGACGTCATATTTTAGTTTTTATCTATCTATCTTAGAAGACGACATTTTGCGTACCTTGGAGTGTATCGAGAGTAACCTCCCTTATTATACAACCTTGGTTATATGTGTGCAGTAAAATTTGTGAGATATGTCTAACATTTCTTTCTCATTTTTATGTAAATATTTTAATGTCTATGAAGTGGAAAGGTTCTTGGGGTATCAACACTAAATCTACTAATGTTTATAAATATCTGTATTTTATTTTAAAAGCATTTAAATCCAGTCGAAAAGTCAATTATTCTTGCAAAAAAGGTTAAAATCCCATTTTGAAAACTTGAATTCATGAACTATACAGGGTTACCCACAAAGGATAGGACTATAGAGAGAATGAATGTCAGCTCCTATTTCTTATATTAAAAGTGTTCAGAGCTGAAAACTTTAGAATAGGATATCCTTTATCCAGAGCTGAAAACTTTAGAATAGGATATCCTTTATCCAGAGCTGAAAACTTTAGAATGAAATATCCTTAATCCCGATCGGTAAATTAATCTGGAGATTAATATAAAGAAGAGAACAAGCATTATTTAATCTGGAGATTATGGAAGAGAGTGGATAAAGCATTAATTCTGATATCTACCATTCAAAAGTTCCCAGCTCTGATCGGTTAATCAATATGGAGATTAATAACAAATGGAGAACAAGCATTATTTAATCTCGAGATTAAGCAAAAGAGTGGATCTAGCATTAATCCCGATATCCACCATTCAAAAGTTCCCAGCTCAGTGTTCTTAATTCTTCTAAGCCAACTAATTAATATTTCCTAAAAGTAACTTAGTTTTCTATGATTTTAATATTTGCATTAACCGCAAATCAGATATACCCCTCATTCCTCCCCCCCCCTTAACCATGCCATCTCCCCCTCTAACCACAAGCAAATCCCTCCCACCCAAGTTCATTTCCAATTACTTCTTCACAAATCCTTCAGTGACTTTGACTTCAAGTTGTGTCAGATCAATGATCAGGAAAAGAATAATTTGTGGTTTGAACTATTTATAGGATCTAGGATGAGTTACTTAAAAAACATCATACACATTTTTTGTATGCTTAGATGTTAAAATCATGGTTTGCCTCAGATATTTAATACTTTAATAAATACTTGTCCTATCGATCAGTTGTTATAAAAGATTGATAAGAATAATTCTACAATTGTAAAATTTGTTTCGACAAATTATTGTATAAGCCAAAGCTTAAATTAAAGTTTAACTATTTCCAATTAGCCCTTCTACCTATTATTATTCCTCTTTAAAATAATATGTGTTGTGTTTTTGCCTCTCTGAAACTCTCCGTGATAACTCTCCAGCCTTATTACATGATATCTTGTTACCCAGGTATTCCAGGAATTGATTTACTCCCTGCTCTAACTCATACCCTGAGCAACAAAAACCGTCCAGAACAATTTCTTATCAATTCGATTCTTAACCATGGTCGCTAACTTAACCAAGAACAGCATTTATAAAAATAAATAAATCTCACATGTGTTTTTTATTCTGAATCATTTACTTTTTTAAAAGTATCACAACTCACAAGCGGTATACCGCGCGGTATGTTGTTGAATTGCCGAAATTTTGAAAATTTCGAAAAATTGGGAAAACGTAAAATTTCAATTTGATCAAACGATATGTTTAAAAAAATGTAACAAATTAATTGAATTGAGTAGTTGCCAAAATTTCGAATTTTCTAATCCCTATATCTTTGCAATTTGATTGTTTAAACCTTTAATATTTCAAATATCTAAGGTCGAAGACATTGGGTTGCTCAGATATAGGGATTAGAAAATGAGAGTTTGTGACAAAGACTCAAACTTAATGTCGGGCAAGGGGGGTGGGGTAAACATAAACAAACACAGAATTGAATGAATGAAAGGAATTCACTAATCTCTGAAACAAGGAAACAATAATGTGCTCATTCTTCAGAACATATAATTTCAACGTCTCTAGTGAAACCCCTAAACACCCCCTGGACTAGNTGTAAACACAAGACGGATGTCAAAGCCTGACATGGGATCCATCTTTCACAACCGTAACTCACAGTAAAAAAAGCAGAGTGGCGCCAAGTGATTGAGTTAATTCCACCAAAACCCCTGGCGAGCGTTGGTGGTGCGCGCAATAATTTACAATGTTAGGTTAACAGTATAATTTGGATTCATGGCTTCATGTTTAGTTGGAAACTAACAAAATATCCAGAGATAACCAGAGATTACCAGAGATTACCAGAGATTACCAGAGATTACCAGAGATTACCAGAGATTACTAGAGATTACCAGAGATTACCAG